AAAAAAAAAAATGTCCTTCCCAAAATTTGATCAATTCAACCTCAAATCCATTGAAACTGAGACGATAAAAATCCCATCCTCTAGCACTGAAACAATCCAATAACCATAAACAATTTCTACAAGATACCTAAACAACCAATTCTTCACTCATATAGCACTAACATCAATTGAAACCACAATGCATTCTCATGCTAGATGCATACACGTGTAAACTAAATATGTGATATACATATTTTCATAACTTTTGATATGACATTGCACGTCATGTCAAACAATTGTTGACGGCCGTCTATAAAGTATCCTTGAGTGTAAAAAAATTTAAAAATATTAAAAATGGGAAAATGGAATATGACTTGTTAATACATGTACTAATAGGAGTTCATGTGCAAAATGTATATACCAGGCTTCTTGGAGGTGAGCGCCAGGCGTTTGCGCCTGACGAGGGAGTTAAGCAGCGACGATTTCCCCACATTGGAACGTCCCACAAGAGCGAATTCCGGGAGCCCATCAGAGGGGCATTCCTCAGTTTTCACACTACTCTTCACAAACTCCGCATTCACCACTTCCGCACCACCTCCAGCATACTTGCTCAGCACAATATTCGATCCCTTCAATATTCTTGCACTCAAAATCCCATTTTCGGGCGGTGAAACCTCCGTTTCAGGCGGCACAAACAGCTTTTCAAGAGACAATTGTATGTTTTCTTCGGGTGGTGATTGACTGCTACTTGTTGAGAAGTGAGAGAAGGATGCGGGTCCAGATTCGGATATGGGTACGGGTATGGCTACCGGGTTTGGACCGGATAAGATGGAAGAGGCGATTAGATAAAGTTTTATGGGTTTGCGGGTTGTGAGGGCGGAAGGTATGTGCAAAAAATGGAGTCTTGGAATTTGATGGATTATAAACATCTCTCAGAAATCTTTTATCTTTGTGTGTTCTCACTTCTGTGTGAGTGTGTTGCTGTGTATCCCTTGTGAGGAACTGTGCTGTGGCAAGAGGGGTATAGATAGATATTTGGTAAAGAAATAACAATTTGGACCCCAAAATTATTTCCTTTAAGCTACTTGCTTGAAGTTGAACTTTTACCTTATTTACA